TTACAGGATTTATTCATTGTATAAACTTTTCACCCATGGTCACCGTACGCTACTGTACACTGCTACCTATGTTATGCTTTTACCAACTGTAGGTTCCAGAGACAGAAGACCACTGTGATACCTACTGTTAGTTCCGGAGAAAGGAGGCCCCTTTTTATTCCTACTCACCGTTAATTCCTGACCAAAGAGCTTACCTTTCCCTTGCGCTTTTCTTCCTCTTCTCTACGCTTTTCTTCCTCTTCTCTACGCTTTTCTTCCTCTTCTCTACGTTTTTTCTCCTCTTCCTTACGCCTTTTCTCCTCTTCTATTCGTTTTTCCTCCCTTTTCTTACGCTTTTCCTCCTTTTCTATACGTTTTTCCTCCTCTTCTCTACGTTTTTTTTCCGCTTCCTTACGAATTTTCTCCTCTTCTATTCGTTTTTCCTCTCTTTCCATTCGCTTTTCTTCCTCTTCTATACGTTTTTCCTCTTTTTCCCTTCGCTTTTCTTTTTCTTTTATCCTTGTTTCGTCCTCTTTTCTGAGCTTTTCCTCTTCCTTTAGATTTTTCTCTTCCTTTCTTTCGTCTTCCCTTTGCCTAAACTTCTCTCTTTGACAGTTTTCCTTTTCTTGATCTCTGTTCTCTTCTTTGGTAAGATCTGCTACCTTTACAGGAAAGGAAACGGCATTGTATGAGATAGTAAATGTTTAAGTTTAAGAGTTGTGGTATTCTCTCTGCCTTACAATTATGCAAAATCACTTTAAGCAGGTTAAACATCTACGAATTGTTGTACGATTGTTCAGGAGAAATTCTTTCATTTTCTGATCTGTTCTACATTGTAGTTGTAACAGAGGCAGATGAAAAGCATTGTTTGCCTGGAAGTTAGAATTATTTGCTCCGTTCCTTAATGGCTACCTAGTGTTTTACAACTTAAAAACATAGGAAAACGTCCATTTTTTTCGTTTGTCAGCTGGGGAGCGCGATTTTAGAAGCTCCATCATAACGCCTACATTCTGAATAAATTGTACTTAAACTGCTGCCATAATTGGAAGGACATAATGATATACCACAAATATAACTTTCCACGGGTATAACTTATCATAGGTATAACTAATCACAAGTATAATTTACCACGGCTTTAACTAACCACATGTATAACTTAAATTTAAAAAAGAAAGCAAGACATCCAAG